CGCGGGTTCACCGTCTCGAGCGGCCGAATAAACCGCGAATCCTGGCCTATGTGTGTGTGGGTTTATACCTTTCTTGACCGTTTACCGTTCGCGCAACAACGGACTTTTGTCCGAAATCGAATCTGTCTTCGACGCAACGAGTCGGACAGTCGCCCGGCAGAATCTCGAATTCTGTGACACGTGTTGACGATTCCTCCACCTCTTCTTCCTCCTCGTCGGCGGCGCCGTCGCCGCCGCCTTTAAACCGGTTAGATGTTACGCCACGTTATTTACGGTCCGACAAGCCACCTACCACGAGTCTAAGTGCCTTTACAGCATTGGCCAGCCTAAGTTAAATGGTAATAAATCGCGCACACGCTCGTCATCGCGCGAGGAAGTTCGCGTGAGAGTTACAAAGTCAATGTCACGTCGTAACTTACACCTCGTTGCGCGGCTCGTGTCTCTCTCTCTCTCTCTCTCTCTCTCGCTCTACGCACGATGAAAGTTGCCCGCTGCTCGTCGAAGGCAAACTCGTGTCGACGTAGATGCGTCGAATTAATCCTTAAAAGTACTCACGCGGAGGTAGGTACACGGTTGCACGTGTAAACGTTACCGATCATCTCTATCTTTCTCTCTCTCTCTCTTTGAGACGGACTTGATTTCGAGTCTTCAACGCTTGAGAACTCGAGGAGGTCTCACGTGAAACTAGTTTCTCTCATCCTTCTTTCTAAAGGAATATACGGATGAGAGAAAAACGAGCCCGAGTCAGATTGACTCGATGGGAATACTCAAGAGTCAAAGATAGCAGAGAGGGAGAGAGAGAGAAAAGGGAGGGAGTGAGGAGGAGGAGGAGGCAGAAAAAAGGAACAAATCTAATACAACGGTGGAATTCGCGGCTAACGGGACTTCTTGTACGTTGCGTAGCGTAAAACGAGATTGTACCTGTGGGATTAGCTCCGTGTAAAACCGGTGCGCGGAGACGACGTATCTCGCGATGAGAAGACTCGTCGGAAGACGGGAACGTGACTGCAGAAAGGGAAAATCAATCGGCGTTGCATTTTTGTCGCTTGTGTCAGCTTGTCGTTCGGGCAGAAATTCTCCAACCGTGTTCAGCGCGCGCGTGCACCAATCACGAATGACGTAACGCCCGCGACCGACGAATTCGAACGCGTTTGTACCTCGCTGCGGTGTTTCGCGCGGCCTCGCCGACGACGGCATGTTATTCATGCAAATTCCAATCCGTCGCAATTATTACGCCGACGAAAGCTGTTTGACATTTGCCGCGACTTTTTACCTCGAAATCGAATGCCGGAAAGTCGTTTCGTAAACTCACTCGGCCCGAGATGGCCCGATGGTCCCTCTCGGAATTCACGAGCCTACTCCCTTTTACAGACGCGTAAAAGTGAATCCGAGTCTCTTCTTCATCGCATCTAATAACTTCTTCTCGGGGTCACGGACTTTTTACACTAAGTTGATCTCCCGCGGAATACTCAGTGCTGCGAGCCTGAGAAATGCAATTCGCAAGATGATGATAGATAGGTAGATAGATAGATAGACAGATAAATGCTTTTATTGTCGTTCTAGAACAAACGTTCTCTAAGAGCGTTACGTTGGAAGTCTTAATCAGTGCAATATTATGAAATTTAATTACAATGTCATAAAATAAATTTGATAGGGATAGTTTGTTTCAGAGAGAAAGATAGATAAATGTTATTATTATCCTTCTAGGATAATTTCTTTAAGGACGTTACAGTAATAATCGACAGTAAAAAACGTTTGAAGGGAAAAACTAAAAAAGAAAAAAAAAGAAAAATAAATGCAACAAGATGTGTAAAAAATTGTATACGTATCTGCACTCATATAGACATGTAATAAAAGACGCATAAAAGGAGGAGAGAGGGGGGGGGGGCTGTTAGGCGACGACAAAAGAAACGCGTGAGACCGAAGAGCGAAAAAAGCGGACCCGCGGGCAATTGCGCGGCGGGCTGGGCTCTGTGAAAGGGTTGGATTATCAGCCGCGTCGAATCTTCGCCGGCAATTGGAGCGATGCCACCGCGACAATAACGCGCTGACAATGACGCCGGTTCCGCGGAACCGTGAACAACGCGAGCGGAAACGTTTTGTCGAGAGCGGAGAAGCGCTGCTAGATTGGCCGGTCAGCCTGCGTGGGATCCCGCGGTGTGTTGCGTATGTGCGATCGTGAGGAGATGTCGCGACGTAATGTAAGAATGAAGGGAGACGAAAGGATGAAAACTCGGGCTCTCTTGCAAACGGACACTTTACTCGAGCATAGATACGGCGTTGCTTTCACGAGGTGGTGCAAACGAGAACTGGCGAGTCGGACGTGAGAATCTTTCTTACACTGAAACCCCCACTTAGTCGGCTCAAGCAAAATTTGGATATGGGCGAACGAATACTCAGACTTGAAACAATTTTCGTCTCTGAGACCCGGAATAAAGCACGCGGAATAAAGGATTTGGCAATAAATATTACGATTTGGTCAATACAAATGCCGACTACATATTTAACTACTGCCACCGTACAGAACCTGTACAGAACAAATTATCTGAATGCAGTAATTAAAAATTTGATCGGCATGTATTAATCAAATTTTACTGATACTTCTCAGATAACGTTAAGACATCGTAAAGAACGTCTTTTGGACACGCGTGTTATTTTGGTCGTTACCGAATCCTTCTTTCGACGCAGGANTTTTTTTTTTTTTTTTTTTTTTTTTTCTAACGATCTTGACGAAGTTTCTTTTTTATTCCCAACGCTACCACTTGACATCATTTTAAAATGCGTCGTAGTGGCATTTCAATTACTATCCCCTGTTGTTGTGGCTCTCCCCGTCACTAATCCATTATATGATATTATGCGCACTGCTACGGTATCGCGGACAATGTTGCGGCAGGTCACGCACACACGTTCCCGTTTGCGAAATTCTTCCGGCGGATTCGACACGAAATTTCTCCGCAATCAACCGTGTCATCATCTCGGTGCTGAGTGTTGTTGATTCGACGAGTGGAACCGAACGAACGAGAGACGTCCGATCACGCCCGACTTCGGAAAAACCGCGTAATGTAGAAAAACCAGTTTATTTCTCAGAACAAGGCTGTTACGAAGATTACTTGACAAGGAAACCGAAGACGTTCTTCTTTTGTCGCGGCTCACTTTAATGTCGTGAGTTCAGCGCAGTTCTTCGTTCTATTTCTATCTACTATTCTATTCAATCTTTAGCCTCTCTTATGTCATCACTCCATGTCATATGCAGTGTTGCTGTTCAGTCAATTAAATCACTTTTTGCCACTTTTTCTTGACAAGTCTTGACTAGAAAATTCATTCGTACAAGATAGGTCACTTTAGTCACTTTTTTTTTCCGGAGCTGCCGTTAAATTTGTAAAATATAGGCGTTTCTATATTTGTATTTTGGCCGTCTCGTCTGCTGCTAATTATTCCGAAAGCGTATTTGCATTGTATCGCCTTTGGCTTTTTCTTGTTATGAACTTTCAAATCGTACTTAGAAAAGAACTCGCTAAATTATCTAAAGATCAAGTGCTACTGATCTAAATCTTAAGATCAAGTATTACTTTTTTGCTCAAATGATCCTGATTGTTATCAAAATTTGACAAAAGTATCATTTTTAGTCACTGTTCTCATGTCGGCACTAAGAAAAAAAAAAAGGACTTAAAGATTTACTCGTGAAATATAAGAGTTTATTCTCCGTCATCTATTCCGCTACGAAGCAGTCACTCCTTCACCTTTTTTTTCTTTGTACCGGCGACAGTCCCGGTCGCATCGAATGTTTCAAGTTGCCCGACACTTGGCCCGATCTTCTCGAGAGGCCACCGCCGAGAAACACGGAACGGGATCTCACCTGCGATTCTGCGTGTTACCTCAGGAGACGCTTCCGAGGTTTCTCGGGACGCGTTCATCGAGACACACCGGTCCCGGACGGAAAACTCGGACGAAAGAAAACTTCCAGAGGGGAGAATTTTTTCCGAGCGCGCGGAAGTCGAGCAGTGTGAAACGAGTGTATTATCACGTAAACGGATATACCGCGGAACCGTTACGGTTACTTGAAGAGCCGATATACCGGGTGCACCCTGCGCGAGCGTGGTCGCACGCGAACTCCCGGGGGGAGCTCGCCGAATGCGACGACGACGATGATGATGACACTGTGTCTCAGATTACGATCTCGTTTGACGCTTCGCGTGCGAACTTCATCCGGCGATATCAATTACGCATCGAGCGAGAGGGCGATTGCGCAACGCACGCATCTTCGCGAGCTGCTGCTTGCAATTGCGTCGAGCCGTCTCGGAGAAGACGCGGAGCACGACGTTCGGCCCTCTCGCTAGTTTGTCAAACTCCCAAGGTGAACACTCTCGAGATCCTCAGGCTTGCTCGCTCGCTTACGTTAGTCAGTCTCGCTGGTTGTTTCTCCGACTAACCCGAGCGAAAACACGAAGCAAGAGCAAAACCGAGTGAGGGGGTCCAGTTACATACTCGGCGGGCCGTCGTGTTAAAGACACGCTCGGTACATACATAGCGTAAGCGGAAACGTAATCACAAAGCCCGAGGGGGTCAGCCAGCTTCTCTCTGTTGTTGCGAACGCGGAGTTGTTGAGGCGTAGGTAGAGTAGGTGAGCGATACCCATGCGCACGCTCTTCGTGCGTGCTTTTTGTTACCGGCGCGATCGTAACGCAATTAGGGGGCAAGCGTGTGCCGTCCTTGTGCGTGCAAATGCCGGAAAATCATACGCCCTTTTTGCGTAACCCCCGGTCGGGGCTAAAAATGGGGAAGCGAGCGAGCGATAGGTAGAAAGAGAGAGCTTGTGGTGAGAGCAAGAGAGAACATTCTGTATATCCTATGTATATGTATATATATATTATTCCAACGTGGATGGGACTTGATTCATCGTTATTTCATCGCGCGTCGTTATCGACTCGCGTCACCGGCTCCGGAGGGGGCGAATGGACGACCGGTTAACACACTCGTTCTCACTGAAATCTCAATTGCAGATGCTTTGGCAGAAGAACTACCTTGCTCTGGGACTGCTCGGCGTCCTCTTGCTGTCGGCGACCGCGGACAACAGCGTGCACATACGGTACAGTCAGCAGCCGTATGGTCAGCAGCAGCTCACCTCGAGCACGCTCAAGTGGCTGCCGATCACGCACTACAATCCGAGCGAATCGAAGCAGATAGTCATCGGCGGCTTCGAGATCGCGCCGAATAGCGGCGAAGGTGCGCGTATACTTTTATAACTATAACTCATCGGCTCTACGCACAATGCGTTATTACGCATCTACACGCAACTTCCGGCGCGCGACACCATGCGAGCAACCTGCATCGGCATTGAAATCCTTTCGTACGGAGGACTCCATTAACGCTGTCCTATATATCTTAGGCATGCACGCGGTAACGTTGAAAATTTACAATTAGCCGCGTCATTTTTGAATATTCCCGCATCATGACGCGTTGCTTCGAAGCTTCGAGTCATCAACCGTCACGATGCACGAGTATTCGCACCATTCGACATACACCGGACGGAGCTGAAAGTAAAACGCAAGTAAAACGAAATCCGTCGACAATTTTTCAATCCCAGCCTTTAAGACACGACTAATCGCTTGATGAGAAATTTTCGACGTCGCCATTATTTTTAGGAAATAGGATAGTATTAATGTTAATAATCTTCCCTACCAGCCTTGTACGGTGCATTATGAATCGGAATATACTTCGAGACGCTGCATTCGCTGCGATTCGAGGGATCGAATGGTGAATTTTTTTTTTTACACGCGTCCGACTAGAATCCGATGGCCGAGGTGTCTCATCGTCTCGGCTGTGATCAGTCGCGTTATATGCAGCGTTAATTATCACGCATATACCGTTATCAATCAAGTCACGACGTTGCAGACGAGAGTTTCGTCAACCAAGCGGAAAATTCGGGAAAGAAGATGCGGCCGCTCTTCGTGTGCCGCGCGATGCACAGCAGCAGCGTGTGGGTAGCCGGGACGCAGAAGGAAAATGAGAGACGCTGCACCGTGACATTGCACGGTACCGTGCAGTCGTACGTCGATAAGTACGAGCTGCTGGAGAACATCGACGGTGCGGCGCGAATCATGTGGCTTCATTGGACCAAGTTCTCGCAGCCCTTGGTGGGCGCGGTGTACGTCGACAAGATGCTGGTCGCCCGCTACGAGGCCGAACACAGCAAGAGGGACACCACGAAGCCGTGGTACACCCACTACATCGGCACGCTGAATGCCGACAACTTCGGCCTCATCATCTACGCGAACGAGGTGAGAGAAAGAATTTCTTTCACGTAGAAGAAGTTCAGGGAGTCCTGGTTCCTCTATTTCACAGAACGGCGAGGAGAAGTCCGCCAAGACCGGCGAGCTGCTGGTGGAGACCGAGCCGATCCGTTACGAGCTCAGTGCGGTCAGGTTGAACTGGCCTAAGAAGCGTATCATCAAACGCGAAAAGCGCGTACTCGCCGAGGCGACGATCGTCAACACGAGAACGGAAGCAGCGAACATGGCGGAAGCCTCCGTGTACTCGTACAAATATTCGGTCAACTGGGGTCGCAGGCACGCTATCCTGAACGGTCTGAACACCTCCATCACGTTGGTCAACGGCACGTCCCTGCGGAACATCACGTGGGGCACGCACATCGAGGAGAATCGCACGGACGCTTACAAGTGAGGATCTTCAACTTGAAACATTTAGTAGACTGATGACAGTGGTTAGCTTCAAGGTTGTCGAGCGATACGCACAGATACGCGAGTATTCTCTCTTCTCTTTCTCTTTTCACCCCCCCCCCCCCCCC